AAATAGAAGAGACCCTTGTCGGGCTTCACACGCAGAAATGTGGCCACGTCCTGGTAGTTGGGCAGCGTGGCAGACAAGCCAACCAGACGCACATCCTCCTGCGTGGTCTCAATGTTGCGTATGGTACGTGCCACGAGCGCCTCAAGCACCGGTCCACGCTCGTCGTGCAACAAATGGATCTCATCAATGATGACCAAACGCACCAGACTCACAAATGTCCGCTCACCACCCTTGCGTGTGATAATATCCCACTTCTCAGGCGTGCACACAATCACCTGTGTTGCGGCTATTTGCTCACGCGTCAGCTGATGATCGCCCGTCAACTCAGAGACAGTCAGATTGTAGCAGGCCAGGCGACGTCCGAAGTTTCCTACCATTTCCTGTACCAGAGATTTCATGGGTGCCACATAGATGATCTTGAAGTCTTGTGCATTGATGGTCCCATCCTCGTTTATATGCTTGCCAATCTCCCGCATCATTGTGAGCAAGGCGACATTCGTTTTACCTGCACCAGTGGGGGCACAAAGCAGCATATTCTCATCGCTGTCCAACGCGGCTTTGTAGAGCCGGCTCTGAATGCGATTCAAGGTCTTGAAGCCATCGAACACTGGCTGTACATACTTGGGCAATTTGTCAATCGGCTGCAGCTCCTCATCCGCCTCGAAGGGAACTTGCTTGAGAGCGGGCACATGCACCTCCTCGTATCCCTTGCGCTGTTTGCGATAACTGCCATCGGGCAGTTGGCAACGCTTGTTGGCCATGAAATGCGAGCCTTGGGTAAAGGCTAGCTCATCCAGTTCCAGTAGTTGACGTACACCAGGCACTTGACCAGCAGCAGCGGCTCCACCATCGTCAGCATCGCCCTTTCCGCGCTTGTTGGCTCGCGCATCCGCCTCCTCCTGCTCATCGGCCTTGCCAGTGTCCAGCTGACGCAATATTTTTGCCAGCGCCGTGTTGCCACGCATCTTTTCCCGTATGCGCTGCCTCTCGCTATCTGTTTGTGCGGACGCTAGCATGGTACAATAGAGTATCATCTGACGATTCAATTTCAGTTGCTTAATGAAATCAAAGCAATCGTAGCCCAGCAGCAACACCAACTGATTCTCACAGTCGCGTTCATCGGCGGCATCCTTTAGTATCTTGAGGACATCAGCAGCCTTGCTCTGGGAAACCATCGCATCCTTGTAGTACTTGCTGAG